CATACAAGATTGGAAAATATGGAAACAACTGGACCATACTTTTGCCAAGAATCAGACATTGTAGATGTGTTCTAGGATGCTTTCAAAATGAAAAAAAAAAGCAAGAAAGGAAGAAGTAAAACTCCAACAGTCATTTTCAGTCCTGTAGTTTTACTGCTTTTGATTATATGAAGTGCTTTTCCACCTCGGCAAAGCTCTTCTGAGAGATACAGCAGAGTGCGGTTTTGCAAACATCTTTATTCAAGTGTTACTTAGCTGTCTGAAAGGCAGCACAAAAATGCTACAGAATAAAATGCTTTTTACCTTGACTATTTTCCGTCTTGTCTGGAGAGATTTATATTCCATCAAATGGAGTCCTTTTTTCATCTACAAAAGGTATTACCCATTTGTTGAGTTAGTATTAAAGGCGGATTTAGGACTTTAAAATTTATACTTTCTCCTGCTACTATTATGAAACAAAGAGGTACTCTAAAAGTTTTCAAAATAGTTACAGACAGTCTTGAAAGAAACTGAAATATCAAGAATATTTCTATAAATTACTATATGTACATAGTAGTCCCCTATACAGAATAATTTGTAAGATCTTGGGATTTTTCCCTTCCTTCCTTCCTTCCTTCCTTCCTTCCTTCCTTCCTTCCTTCCTTCCTTCTTTCCTTCCTTCCTTCCTTCCTCCCTCCCTCCCTCCCTCCCTCCCTCCCTCCTTTCCATCTTCTCTCCTCTGTCCATCCTTCCTTCCCCCTTGATTTTTAATTGTCATTTGTAAGAAACAAAATTAGATCTTCAAAACATTAAGCTCTTTTCTGTACCTCTGGCATTTTGTAAATCTTCAAAAGGTTGTATTTATTTTAATTATTTATAGAATGAATTTACTAATTGAAACTTTAACATAGATTCCATGTAGTCCTCATGATTATCTGATCCATAACCCAAGGTTTAGACTAGGAGATTTGAAGTGCTTTGTAAAGCAAGCACTTGTTTCCCATAACAGGTATATATTCCTATACTTTAATACAATCAAATTAACAATCCTTAAGTCAATTCACATGATAATAAATAAAATTAAACATGTGCACTATGACATCCTCAATGCAAGATCCTGAGTGGTAGAACCTTCTTTCAACTACTGAAGTGAGATCTTCAGACCATTATATATTTAATGGAATTTTATGTTATCAGTCTCTCGGTAAGCCAGATCAAGAACGTTGATGGATATCTAAATGTTCAATTACAGTCCACTGTTCAAAGTTCCACATCAGTGAAATTCAAGATACAGTTTTTCAGCTTCTGACACAAAGGATGTGCTCACACAGCACACTGGGCCATAAATTAAACAACCAGAATTCTGCCAGATTATTATGCAAAACTAGCCTGTGACTTACAATGTGTTGTTATGTAAGCCCCAAACATTGGGTTAATTGAATAAAGAGATATTATATATACACAGATTTTGCTGGCAATCCAGCATAAAGGAGCATAACTAATTCGGCACATGTATTCCCAAATTCATGCAAAATTTTAAAACAGACACTTTAGAGCAGTGTTTCTCAACCTTGGTAGCTTGAAGATGGGTGGACTTCAACTCCCAGAATCCCCCAGCCAGCTTCCAAGGTTGAGAAACACTGCTTTAGAGGAAATGAGAGATGAAGAAATGAAAATTTTCATTGGTGAAAGGGTAGTTTTAGAAATTGAAATTTGGTTATAGAAAACAACAACTTTTCTAAAACATTAGAAACCTTATAAAGACATGTTTTTCCTAAAAGGAGAAAGCAACCAATTGATGATGTATGGATTTGAAGATTAAGAAAGATGTTAGGTGAGGTATAATACAATAGGAATTATATGTCGAAAAGAAGATTGGAAGTCATTCACATATTTGTTCACTCTAGTCTTTTCTTCCTTTTTATTTTCCTGCACTAATTATTTCTTATTTTCTCTTTCTTTACTTTTTTCTTTTTATTTGTCTTTGATTGTATGAAAAATCTTAATTAATATAATTAAAATTTAATTAATCAATAAATAAGAAATGGGAATAACAAATTTACTAGAATTTTCTGACTAGATTATCTGACAAGATTTAAAATCAACAGAAATTTGGGAAATTAAGAACAGTGGAATAATTTTGTTAATCTTGGTGAAGATGTTCCTATTTTGTCTTTACTTCAGTCCAACTATCTTAACTCAGAACTATGACATAGCCCTCAATATGTAAATGAAAACTCTGTGAAATATGGACTGTGCATTCTGGGTGCATTCCGTTGAATAATTTACGTGGAAATATTTTGTACTTGAATCATATTAGCTTAAGAAATGTTCACAAAAAACTATACATTGTTTGGCCGACGGCACCCTGAGGAGGCCCACTCTGTGAGAGTGCATGGGACGATGGGAGAGTGGCAGGAGATGGTCCTGCAAGTACCCTAGGCCTAAGCCATGAAGGGTTTTATAGGTAAGCACTAGCACCTTGAAACAAATCTGGAACGCCACTGGCAGCCAGTGCAGCTCACGCAGGAGAGGTGTTACACGGGAGTATCGAGAAGCCCCCGTAATTACCCGTGCGGCTGCATTCTGGACTAGCTGGAGCCTCCGGACACATCCCAAGGGCAGCCCCATGTAGAGGGTGTTACAGTAGTCCAACCTAGAGGTAACGAGGGCATGAGTGACCATGGTGAGGGCATCCTGGTCTAGAAAAGGGCGCAACTGGCGCACAAGACGCACCTGTGCAAAGGCCCCCCTGGTTACGGTCATCAAATGGTCATCCAAAGACAGCCGAGAATCCAGGAGGACACCCAAGTTGCGAACGCTATCGGAGGGAGTAAGGGTCTCTCCCCCGATCACTAAAGATGGAACCTCCAGATCCCGGGATGCCGGCATTCCACTCAGTCTTGGAAGGGTTGAGTCTGAGTCTATTCCTCCCCATCCAAACCTGCACCACTTCCAGGCAGTGGGACATCACGGAAAGGGCATCCCTAGGGTGGTCAAGGGTGGAGATGTAAAGCTGGGTATCATCAGCATATTGATGATACCTCATCCCAAAACCACGAATGATCTCACCCAGCAGTTTCATGTAGATGTTAAATAGAAGAGGGGACAGAACCGATCCCTGAGGCACCTCACAGGGGCCACTGGGGCCACTGGGAGGATCCCTGACACCCCACCCAAACAGACTGCAAGCAACCAGAGAGGTAGGAGGAGAACCACTGTAAAACAGTGCCTCCTATCCCTATCCCCCTGAGCCGCTGCAGCAGGATACAATGGTCGATGGTATCGAAAGCCGCTGAGAGGTCAAGAAGGACCAGGATGGAGGAACAGCCCCCATCCCTGGCCCACCAGAGATCATTTACTAGGGCGACCAATGCCGTTTCCATGCTGTGAATTAACAAAGTTATTTGTTAAAAAGCAAAGAAAAACATTATGAGATGGCAGAGACTCTCATGGAGCTGTAATTGACTGGACTTCTGTATTGTGCTTCTGAATGTCTCTTTAGAGCAGAATCATCCCATTAACCTAAGACTTGGCTTGATGAGGTAGGTTCAGTGTTAATCACACTGCTGAATATACAGACAATGAATGCATGATAATATCAGATGCAGATGCTTGCCATGTGAGGCAAGCATCTGGCTTATTGTCTTTCCTGCTGCTAGGCAGTTGGATGCCTCACTGGTGAGTCTTCTATGTGTACAAAGAATGATGGTTTTGCTCTAGCAAAAGGACTGCCAATTCTACTCTTCCCCAAACTCATATTCTTACCTGAAGGTTAGCCAGAAGGACATTCACCACACCTCCTGCAAATTTCTGACTTTTGGGAAGGCTGTATGTGCCTCTAGGTGAAGGCTTATGTGACAAAAGTCCATGCTAAATTCATAGCTGCCATGCAATGCAGCTATCTTACTCCTTCCCTCTTACATGCTTTATGTGTGATGGTGGCATGTCTAGTTTATAGCATGTGCCATTTATAGTTTACCTTATAGGCACAAAGTACCTGGAATAACACATTATTGATCCATTTAACATCAATATTTTTATATTGATTGACAATAAAATATACAATATTTTTCAGCCCTATCTGGAAAAGCTGGTGGCTTGAACTTGATACCTCATATTTTTTAGGTAACTGAAACAACAGTCAAAAGCAGGGGTGAAATGCTCCCGGTTTGGACCGGATCGCCCGATCCAGTAGCAATGGAGGCGGGTGGTTTTGAGAACAGGTAGCAAAAATCCCTGCCCCCCCCCCCCATGCCCAGCTGAGCCACACAATCATCAGAGGCTTTTAAAAGAAAAATAGGGTTTTTTTCTTTTAAATGCCTCTGACGATCCAAGCTGAGTTGCCTGATCGTCAGAGGCTTTTTAAAAAACTCAGCTTGGATCGTCAGAGGCATTTAAAAGAAAAAAACCCTATTTTTCTTTTAAATGCCTCTGAAGATCCAAGCTGAGTTTTTTAAAAAGCCTCTGATGATCAGGCAACTCAGCTTGGATCGTCAGAGCCTTTTGAAAGCATTTTTTTACAACCTCTTCACCAAAGAGGTTGTAGAAAAAATGATTTTAAAAGTAAAAAAAAAAATGGCCACGCCCACCAGTCACATTATCCCACCACCACCAAGCCACGCCCACAGAACTGGTAGTAACAAATTTTAGATTTCACCACTGGTCAAAAGCTAGAAATTAAAATGCTATCCCTGGATAAATTTCAATAATCTCTGCTGTTTTCCTAAAGGTGTTGTTTCAAAAGGAACTGGACTTTCTTTGTTTTCTTGAAGATGTTTCACTTTTCATCCAAGAAGCTTCTTCAGAAGAACTTCCTGGATGAGAAGCAAAATGTCTTCAAGAAAAAACAAAGAAAGTCAGTTGCCTTTTGAAAAAAGCACCTTTAGGACAACCATGACCTGAATGATGAGCATCTTGATAGATAATCTCCACTGTCTTATTCCCTTTCTGGGAAAATTATACTCAGAATACATGTTTTTCCATGTTTCTCTTGCCCATTTTTATTTCAGGATATATACCTTATATGCAACACTTGATTCCATTCATGATGTTAGAGTAGAAAAGATTCTCACCAGATCTAGAGATAAAGAATCAGGAGTTAACGTGGACATAAAGAAGAGTGTTTTTTTCCTTCTACATATATACTCAGTAACAGAAAAACAAGTGAGCAGGTGGAGGAAAGCATGAATCAGTACCAAAGACATAAAGAATCTCATTAATGCCTATTCTCCAGCAGTTCAATTCTCTATTAATTCATTTGGCATTAATCCAGCATGCCTTCCATTAATGAATCTCTTTTATTATGTTCTTCTCTTTTCCCCTGGATAACCCAGAAAGAAGAAAATAATATATAATACACATACTGTGTTTTCTCGAAAATAAGACCCTGTTTTATATTTTTTGAACCCCGAAATAAGCGCTTGGCCTTATTTTCGGGGAGGTCTTATTATTTTGGGATGCGTGGAACAAGATGGTGCTCCTCTTGCTGTCTTACCTGTTTCCAGCTCTGTCTTTAAATTTTTTTGGGGGGGGGCTTATTTTAGCACAATTGGGCTTATTATCAGGGGATGTCTTATTTTCGGGAAAACAGGATACCTACAGTACATCTAAAATAAGAGTAGATTGAGGAAATACAATAGAGGCATTTGCCTGGCTTTGGGCAATTTTAATGCTGTGCCAAAAATTAAGAAGCCATTGGGTTTTCTGTGGATATGTATGGGTGGGAAATTTATTTCTTTCTGTTTTGAAAATATTAGAAAAAGAAACATATATTCATCTTTGGAGCTGAAATCTGGGAAATTCAAAATGGATTAAAAGAAACATTGTTTCATTTAACTCAAATTTCACTTATGGAATTGTGCCACCATCTTGGATGTTCAAAAGAGGATTGGAGGGCATGCTGAAATTCTGTATCAGATTTATACCTCCTATTACAACTACTTCAAAAGCATCAGAAACAAAGTCTAGTTCAGTTTGGTGCAGAACATTACCAGGAATGCATTGTTTTATGAGACATCTTTGAGATTCCTTAGTCATTGAATTAGTCACTGTGGGAACAATTAGTCACTGTCCCGACCTTCACACCTTCTGCTGCGCCCTCAAAATGCTTTTGTTTCAGCAGGCAAGACTGGCCTAAATGTTATTTTAATGGGTTGTTTTATGTGATTTTAGTTTTGGCCAAATTATTTAATACTTTTAATTTGCTTTTAACTTTTATATTTGTGGGTTTTATCTTGTCTGTACACCGCCCTGAGTCCTTCGGGAGAAGGGCGGTATAGAAATTTAAATATAAATTAAATAAATAAAAATAAATAAAAGATAATTATATCAAAGGTTGTTGTTGTTAGTTGCGAAGTCATGTCCGACCCATTGTGACTCCATGGACAATGTTCCTCCGGGCGTTCACACCTACTGCTTCAGTGACTCCATCCAGCCACCTCATTCTCTGTCGTCTCCTTCTTCTTTTGCCCTCAATCTTTCCCAGCATTAGGTTCTTCTCCAGTAAGTCCTGCCTCCTCATTAGGTAGCCAAAAATATCTAAGATAGCCTAAGATTGGCCCAGACCAATGTTATTGTCCATTTGTAACTTACATGAGGCCAATGATGTCCAAACACCCTTGACTGTCAATTTTTAAGGATCAATATATTTGATTCATAGGATTTCATAGGATCTTTTCTTCAGTTAGCCAATCTTTTTAATGGTTGTTCACTTGAATTTATTTTTATGTTGTATATACTTTTTTTCTTCCATAAAGCTGTGTATTTTGATAAATTAATCTTCATTGCAGACACTGTGAGTTTATTATGGAAAAGTAGCATGCATATTAAACTGAAACCAATCAGTGCATATTTAAAGTGGAAGTAAGGCCCTTCCAGAATTTACAGAGCCTGCTTCTGCAAAAATGTAAAAATACTTCTGTTTCAATGCCAATGTTCATTTAATGAAGAGGTTATGAAAGTATGTCCAAATGTACATCTTGGTTTTTCTTTCACAGAAGCAAAGCTAATAGGCAAAGATTACAGGCGCATCTCAAGAGTTGTTCATAAGTTTTGCCAATATCAGCATGAGCCAGTGTGCTATTTCTTCCAGTCTTTAAGTCATTCATATGAATGGCTCATTTTCAGACAACAAAGCATGCAGAGGCTGAAGCAAGAGAAGAAAAGAAAATAAGCACTTCAAAGGATGCTTGAAAATCACCATAGTCCTATTCCCTGGCATCTAAAAATATAACTTGAATCAAAACTACTGGTTTTGTTTTTCTGTTTAGAAGAACTGGGTTTTCTTTCAGGACTCAGAAGGGTAGCGTGCCAAGACACAATATTATCCACAGTCATTTTACCTTGCTTCTGTTTGAGAGACTTTCCATAGCAACTGACCTTAACAGTTAAGGAGATATTCAGTGCATTGAGGAGAACAGCTTGGTATTTAATATATCCAGACATCCATATAACATTGAGAAGATCCTTCAAAGTGAGAATTTTCCACTCTTTCCAACTTAAAAAAAAATACTCACAAGGTTGAATTGATGATAGCAGTGCAGAATTCTAATGGTGATGCTTGCTTGTTCCAGAATATATATGGGTGAGCTGCATTTGAATCCAGCTGTGCCAAGTGGAGCTGCATTATGAAAACATGTTCAGGTACCTGTAATGTTAAAGCATTTCCTGACACCAAATTATATATTTATAATCACAAGATTCTTCAAAGGCAAGATGCCATAATGATGATTATGCTAGACAAATAACTTTATATTGCAAGATTTTGTAGGAAACGTAGATATTTGCTCTACGTTAGAATGTTGAAAGTTTAGACACCTTTCACACATTCTTGTAAATAATACAGGAGGCATGATACATAAATACAAGAAGTATATGTTAGAGATATGTAGATAGAAAATATGTATTGTGCAGCAGATCTTTGGAGAGAAGGATGGGAACCGAAGCCTTCCAGAGAGGAAAATTCTCTAAAATGAAGAGAATTCAACATCTTTCTGCTCTGTGCCTGTTAATTGAAAATCTGTTTTATCTAGTCAATGCTACTGAATGGGAGCCTGGATCAATGCTCACTTTTGAGTTACAGCCAATGGGGCCTCATAAACATGGGAAAAAAAGGAAGCTCACTCATTACTTTGTTTCTCATGAATCCAAAAGTATTTTTGCTCTCTAACTTCAAATAACATGATTAACTTATTTTTTTAATGAATTTTAATTTAAATGGATCAGTTTAATAGCTTTCAGTCTACTGTGCATATATCCATTTGATTTGATAGTTTTCAAAATATCACTGCACATGTCTTGATTTCAGTGATGGTGTCAGATGGGTCATGATTTAATTACACAAATGTCACAAATTCTTCACCAATGATGAAGAGACTTGCCCCTGCTGCCTTCGCAGATGCCTATGGGAGAACCACTTAATTTTCTAGGATTAAAACTAAAGCAGCTTTTTTTCCCTGTTAAATTTATTTTCGAAAAGGGGAGAGTGGTTTTATATTCACAACAGCTTGAGTTTTCCCGTTTAAATTCTGGTATTTTAGGATTGTGGGTATTGCTCTCTTTGCTCCCCCCTCCCCTTTCTCAAAGCCCTGGATCCAAAAAGAAAAGAAAATGTTCTAATCATAACTGTTCTAACATAATGACCTGGAACTCTTTTTTGGCTCATTAGATTTTAATCTCAAGCAAATTACTATGAATCTCCCCAAAGCAGATATTATAAGCATTTTAATGCTTGTTTTCATGAATCAGAGTTGATTTATTGCAGTTACATTTTAGTTTATAAATGTGGGGCATTTTTGCTACTTTCAGCATGGAAGCGTGTTTACACTGATATATTAAATATGCTTGGAAATTTATTTTTTAATAAAGGTTGAATATTTCATGTGAGTGGAAACTAAGTTTAATTACAATCACAGGTGGTTTCTTTTGAAGAGATTTCATGCCAGTTTGGTTCCTCTTTCTCCTTTAGATTTCTTTGTGGTGAAAAACTTTTTTTTCATTAAAGAGTCCTGACCTTCTGCTATCTATCCTCATTAAGTGATTCCTGCTGCTTTTCTATCGCACTTGCTTTTTCATCCCATCTGTAGGTCTTCTTGGCAGTGGGATACATGCCACTAGGTCCACTGAATGGTTATCATATTTAGATGCAAGGATAAGTGCATATTGTAGGAAGAACAATTAAAGAACAGTAATAAAAGTTATAGTCAAAAAAGAAAGAAAACATTTTAAGAGTGCTTTCCAGAACACCATGAATAACATCTGAATAAATTCTTAGAATGAAAATAGTACAATGTTTATTACTGCTGCTGCTGCTGCTGTTGTTGTTGGAGAACATTGAACATTGTACGTTTTTTCTTTCCACCTGTTCCCCATCACAGATAAGCCCTCTTATTTGAGTACGCAAATATAACCAACTGACACAGGCAGTTTAACTATTCATTGTGGTCCTATAGGCAGGGGTAATGCTAGCAAATACAACCTGACATTTATATCCATTTTAGCATTTTAGATAATAAATTGAAGCAAAAGATGAAAAAAAAATCAGTTTTACTGTAAAATTTTCAATGTTGATAAAAAACAGACAATCATAACCCAATCAGGCAGTTATTACATTGTTTATTTCACTCTTCTTCATTTAAGTGGTTGTAGAAATTACAGGAATCCATGTGCTGTGAAATTGCAGCTCCTAGAATATACAGAGAGCATGGATATTGATTTCCCTGCCTAAGACAAAGTTTCTCAACCTTGGCTACTGGTTGATATGTGGACTTTAACTCATGGAATTCCCCAGCCATCCATGAAAATTCTGGGAGTTGAAGTCCATCCATCTTAAAATGGCCAAGATTGAAAAGCCCTGGTCTGGAAATTTTGGTAGGTATCAGATTTGCTCATTAAAGTAGGAAGGGCCATAAACTAAAGAAACCATGAGGTCTAGTCCCATCTTAAGCAAGAAGCTTGTTGGGTGACCTTTGGGACATTCAGTCGCTCTAGAAAGGAGGCAATGGTAAGCCACTTCTGAAAAAAAACTTTGCCAAGAAAACTACAGGGACTAGTCAGGCAGTTAACCCTGACTTGAAAGCA